TTCCGTCCCTCGAACACATCTCAATTATCAATTCGGTGCATTCCTAAAACAGTCAAACTGTTAAATGTTTACAAAGCATTATGAGCAAATAGGAATCTACCACCAATATTCTGAGGCATAGAATATTGGTGGTAGATTTGTGAACATAGAACTTGTGAGACAAATAAACGGGAATCCAGAATTTATTCCAGAATCCAGACAAAAATAACGTAATGAGAAGTATTTCAGAAAGGAAGATCAAATCTTGTTTTGAGTGCTGATCACAATACGAACAAGCATGTGGTACTTATATATAATGGAATGCATAGGTATTCCTGGAGAGAAAAAACTATGCGTTGACGATTCAGTAAGGAACATTTTTAGCTACACACTGCAGAACACATTGAATTTTCGTGATAAAGAAANTCTGAACAGAGGAGAACAGAGAGTGAATTCGATGGATAACGTAAACCTGCCACGGCCATCCCATCTGCGATCCGAGTTGCGAAATAGCGACGTCTCCGCAAACATCATACTTAACACAGAAGTGTGGATTTTGTCCAGTGTTGTTGTAATAAAAATTCGCAATTTCATACATGTACTGAACCAGTCCTTTGTCATCCTTCGGCTCTTCACTACCCGCGATCTCACAAGTTTTCTGAAACAGAAATGAAGCAAACATCACATATCGTCGACAGCGCATTCATCCTCTCATCTCAATTCCGTGTCTCATATCGCATGTTCCTCATATTTGTTCGATCGGTGCAATAACCCCATTTCACCTCATCATGATCGGTAAGGAATTCATGAAAGGAGACGTGGAATATAAAATGAAAAGAATAATTTTACAAACCAACTTTAACGGGCCATCCAGGTAGTGGTTGAAGCAAACTGTTCGGATAGGGATAGTTCACCATCGCCATGTAGTCCAGTGCTTCACGCACAAATGATACCAAATCATCAGTCTCATTAGCAAAAGTCAACTTCGATTTTTCTTCTATGTGGAAGAGATTGTTCAAAAATGTCCGCCCTTCAGCTGAAATTCAACTAATTGTTTCACTGATGCATAAATGTCGTGTGTATGAGCACGGGTGCATGTTAACGTTGAGATGGACAGGTCGTTGGACAGGTAGTTG